GGGCTAATTTTTTTGGCAGCTTGTAACTCAAACTACTCTTTGAATAAGTTTTTTTGTCTTAATAGTTCATTCTTTGTTCCCATAGATACGAGTACATCTTTCAGGTAGCATCAGCCTGCAAAACTGAAAGTGCTACTTTCTTTCACAATTCTGACAGCTGACATAGAGATACAGTCTTGAGTTTGCCTTGTGTGGTACAAATACCACTTTAGATAGAATCCATCTCCACTGCATAAGTTTCGGCAGGAAAATGTAAGCATTTTCCGCTTGGTAAAGGGAGCAGTGTCATCCCAGCTGATGCGGCAGCCTGGGGGTAGTGAGCGAGCCCGGTTCAGAAAGGCAGAACTCTGGGGAGCCCAGGCCGGGGGTGGCTCTGCTCCTGCTGGGGTCAAAGGACGTTTGCCTTTAGTGGTTTACTTCAATTAAAAAATAATAATAATAATAAAAGAATTACAAATCAAGTGACTCTTTTTCCGTGCTAAATATCCATATAGTAAAACAGAGGCACAGATGGATTTTCTGTAACTGTTCTTAATATACACATTGATGATGTTGTTATGGCAGTAATTAGAAATAACATCGCTTTTTTGCTGAACTAGTCATTGAAAGAATTGCTAAGATGGTAAAATAATTTTAAATAAGAATGTAGTAAATTATTTCATTTAGAAATAAAAGGAGTATACTGATAAATATGTGACTCTTAGTTATCCCACTACTGAAAACTGTGTTTATTTATTGTGTTATGATAACTAGGTTTGAATCCAGAAATGATGCCAGAGTTACTCAAGACTTATGGGTATCACAATATAACTTAATAATTTACCAATTTTAACCACAGGCCTGCAAAACTTGTGTCTGCATTTAAATGAAAGTGTTAATAATCCCAGCAAGTCCAGTAAAGGAAAATAAAATTTTAGGTATGTAATTATTAGAAGGGTGCAAAAGTGCAAATGGATATATGTAAATTTGTGCAGGTCTTTCGCTTCTTTGTGCTTCATAAATTAAACTCTAATCATATTGAAGAAAGTAACAACGTGAGCTGGAAGCTGTTTCTCCAATAGATAGCCAGTAATGGAAAGGAAAAATATTGTGCTCTAAGGGTACTCAATTAGGTGGTATAAGAAGACTGAATTTTAAATGCCCATTCTTTTGGTACTGTTCCAACTAATGTCAAATAATAAACTAGCCCAGGGATTAGACGAACGTAGAATCTTAATCTGTTTGCTTAGTTATGACAAGGGAAACTATTGGACAGCCATAGGATTTGATCCTTGGTCCTATGCCATTAAGCCTGTTTCTAGCAAACTATTAGTTATTGTGTACTACAAGTACACTAGAACATGTTTGCTAGGAAAGTAGTACTTGATATTTGCAAGATAAAAACAAGAATAATCTGAACTCCAAATCTCTCAGTGTTTTTTTTTATTAAGGTGAATTTTCTAGGTCCCTCTACCTGTCACAAAGAATGAAAATTGAAATTTATGTGAGTCGGTCTTTGAAAAAGGAATTTATGTACTATTCAGGAAGTATTCAGTATTATTCATTTTATATATTAATTCTCTAATTATAATTAATTAATTATAAAAAATGGGATTTTCCTAAAGTTACAATACTATAAATTCTTATTTCTCAATTGATGGACATAATTGTCTCCTAAATTATTAAATAATGTGAGAGTAAAGCATTTCAGTTCTGTTCTACATAAAAAGTGAAGACTGGCATAGAAACATCATAAGATTAGTATTAATGATATTCATAAAGCCTTGAAATTCAGTAGAGCAAAGTCAATAGTATGATAAACAACTATTTCTTTAGTTGCATGGCAAGTTTTGTGGTCCATTAAGCTTTATTGCTGTAATGATATGTTTATAGATTAGTATGTCAACAAAATACATGTCAATATATCTCAAATGTCAACAGATGATCTCAAAAGAAGTATTTTCAGTTTGTTTCCTCTCTCTTACCAAAGTATTGATGCATAAACTCAAGAGTTCCAGAACTGACAACAACCCCACATCTCAAAATGGGAACAAAATGACTACACAAGTGTTTAAACAGGGGGCATCATCAGCATCACAGAAACCATCACTGAAATCCAATTCCGAGCACCAGTGGAAAGGAATTGTCCGTGTCTAATCACAGTAGAAAATGGGACCCCTGAAAATGCAGCCTGTGTGATTCTGCCCCCTCCAAGTATCAGACTGTACTTTTGGCCTGCCATCTGCTTGAAATGGCAAAGTGTCTTCTCCTCCAGAGAAGCAAACCAGTCAATGGTGTTGCCTTCTAGCACCCTGTGGGCACGAGTGTGGGGCCTCGTTTCCTCAGCAGAGGAGGGAAAAGGGACTCGGCATCAGGAAATGGCTGATTCAGGAATGATGTTGGAAAGCCATGATATGCTGAATTAGGGATTAAAGTTTGTTTGAATGTGGGGATTGAGTGACACCAGTCCGAGCTAACGACGCAGGTTGATTGCATATTCAGACAGTATTATCACACTGTAATTTGATCTCTAGTTTTAAGGTTTTCTTGATAAGCATGCAAGGTAGTAACGTCACTTCTTCTTAATGAGAAAACATTTCCTGAGATTCTCTGGACATAGCCAGAATTCTATGCTAGAGCTATAGACCAATACCCAGCTGCAAAATTAAGAAAGATGGACTTCACTAAATCTTCTCAAATTGTGGAAAAATTTTTTTGTCAGAAGTTCCATCATGAATTTTGTGATATTCATCACTGCTTTTATAAATTAATTTGCTATTTGCAGAATAATGACTCCTATATGGCAACAGTAGTTCATGTCTTTTCATGTTACAGTTTTTGTGGAGAGTTAAAAAAAGAAATCTGTGTTACCTGAAACAAAATTAGCTGCTAGGTTAGATATTTTGTAAAGTTGAGGTTATTGCATTCTGTGAAGAACAATAATAATACCGTTTTTTAGTGATCATTGCAACTTTAAAAAGCAGCAGTGTATGTAGCCTGTGAAGTAAACACCTGTACTATATTAGGGACATGATTTATATTAAAACCGAGCAACTAATATTCATCTTCCTCCAGAAAGTCAGTCTCTTTTGAAAACGGGAAATATTTTATAGCATTTTTTACTCAATATGATATTAAGCGAATAGAACTAGTTTGCCTACACAAACCCTTTTCCTTGATACTTGCGTATTTATGGAAGATGGTCTTTCTGTGAGATTTTTTTTTAAATGACCAAAAAGCACAATTAAATTCTTCCTAGAATGATTGAATATATATGTGTGTGTGTGCGCTCACATATGTGTGAGGGAGTGTGTGCTGGGAGACATCTATAAGAAAATACAAAGGAATTTTGCACAGAAACATCATAATACATATGTCCTTCCATTTTTGCCACGCAAACCTAAAAGCCAGTCATTAAAGTATAAAATACTGAAGTATTTTAAGCTCAAGTATGCCTCAAGTGGTCCACTAAAATGTGCTCTTGAGTACTTCCGTGCATCGCAGCACCTTGCTCTGTGCGAAGGTCATAGCTGTTTTCTTATCTGGACTTAACAGGAGCAGATCCTAAATGGTGGACGTTGTTAAATGCCTATGTGGACATTGATAACAACCTCTCCATTAAGTGTTGTCTATTCAAGGACTTGACTTTTCCAGCTTCTTTTTCAAAAAAATCTCGTCTGTTTTTATCTGCCCTTACATATTGTCACACATTAGTAAACCTTGGTAAATGTCAGTAAAACATGATTTAGGTATACAGCATTTTACACTTTACTGGATCTGTCTTTGGGCGGCATAGCCCAGATCCGTAGAAGTCACAGGATGTCAGTTCTTCTCCCACAGACCCCTTCATTTCTCCCTGGCAAGATTTGTTCTCTGTCTGAAACTTGCCATGAGATAAAGAAGCCTGCACCTCTAAATTCTCTCTTTCGTTTTTGGGGGAGGGGGGACCAGTCCATCACATGTGCTGGGAAGCGAACCTTCTGGGAGGGACAGCAGGACTGTCCCTCAACAAGTAAATTCAACATTTCACTTCAAAATACAGAATTACTGAAAAAACAATCCCTAAAATCAGTATGTGGCCAGTAGGTCTACTAGTCAGCAATATGATACCAAGGAATATTCCATGTACTAGGCTGATTTAACAACTACACCTGAAGCGAATGAGGCTACAGCTTAAATTTCCGGGTCTCTGCAGAGTGATAGCTGACTTCGTATTGCCGTTAGAACTAGGGCACCACTTGGTCATAGCTGTGTTAGGACTGTGTTAGTCGGTCCTGTTTGTATTAAGGTGGTTCTCTAAAGCGTGTTTGCAAATACTTTATCCAGTCTCTGTGTGCAGGACAAGAAAAAGTATTTGTACAGAAACCCTCAAATGCAATAAAATAAATAAAGAAAATCAAACAACTGACAGAAAGATTCATCTTTCTGTCAATCAATGTAAGTTCTGTTGAGTTACCAGGTTTTTTTGCCTCAAAATTATTTTGCCTTCCTGCTGTGATTATTGCATTTACCTTTAAAGTAGCAAGAGAGTGAAGGTGTAAAAAATACTACGTATTATATTACTTCTTCTTTCTGTAAAGTATGAAAATATGGAAGATGACTATCTTCGTATCTATTAGGTCTCAAGGTCTCTTTGGTGGACAGTGCCGATAACATACATGTATTAACCTACATATAGTCTCTTGGCCCATATTCATTGTCTTTGGTCTTAAAATTGCTATTATATTGCTTTCTGTATTCCGGGGATGCAGACAGGAAGGCTCCACATGACTTTTAAATGTTGCATGTCTCTGTCACGCTGAAAAATATGGGAAAGTGTTCATTTACCTCGAAGAAGTGAAGAACAAATTATAATACTGGAAATATATACTCTGAGGAGGATCAAGTTAAGCTGGTATTTGTGAACCAAATAAATGAAAATGTATCAAGACTTAAAATTAATTTATTAATAAAAAAGAGGGCTTTTGGAAATGCTGTTACACAGACGAATTAACATGTTTGTTTTTACTTTGTAACTGTAGTACATTTACTAAAATGCAAGGCAGACGGATGGGGACTTCAGGGAGAATCACTAAGAGCACAAGTGTGAGCGGAGAGATGTATAAGCTGGAGCACAATGACGGGAGTCAGTCGGACACGGCTGTCGGCACGGTTGGAACAGGTGGGAAGAAAAGGCGTTCCAGCCTTAGTGCCAAAGTGGTTGCCATAGTGTCTCGAAGGAGCAGAAGCACATCTCAACTTAGCCAAACAGGTGAGTGAGACACACACTCTTTGGAAACAGGACTCTGACCAAACATGGTTTACCGTTATTTCATCTGTGGCATCTGTGTTACATGTATATGGAAGTAGAGCGCTCAGGAGAGAAGATTGTCCAGCTGTGAAGAAATTGCTGAGATATTAATTTTCTTTGATCATTAAGCATCTGCAAGAAACAATATACCAATGCCTTTTAGAATATATACCGTAACAACTTTCTGTCCTGATCAATGAAATATGTTTTTATCTCTTAGAAGTCTTGTTTACAGATAGGCAAGGAGATGCAAAGAGACATATGTGGGTATCAACAGTGGATAATGGTTTAGCTAAGAGCAGCTTTTTTTGTATAGGAAATTTCTTCTACCAGAAGAGTAGAGTATGAATGGGGGAACTGAAATATGAGCAAATGAATGGCAGTTATGTAACTTGGAAAAAGTTTGTACCCATAATGGCAAAGCATATGTTTTTAAAAACTACCTTTGATTTCTTAGTCAAGGGTAAATCCAATATTTTTTCTTTAAAAACAACACTGGCTAATTGGGGTCAGCGATTTCATATAAATTAGACGACAGCAAGACGCTTCTTCATTAGGAGCATAAGACTTCCAGCTCTTTATTGTGACTTCAGAAATCTTAAAAGCTTCATATCTGCACAGCCTGAAGGAGCAAAAGCTTGTAGAGAAAGATACAAAAGGAAGAAGAAAAAAAAGTGTTTTAAAAGTCCTTGTCCTGCTCCTATTGAACTCCAGTGAAGACTTTTGCTCTTGTCTTCAGTGGGAGCACGACCTGACCCTAAGGGTTCTTTCTTACTAAAAGAAAGGGAGGGAGAAAGAGGGAAAGCTACAGCCTAGCATAGAATGCAGGCATATTGCAGCTCTCCTCTCTCATAGTAGGGTAATCCAACCTAAGGTAAGTAACAATATAGTTTATTTATATCATCTTGGTCAGCGTTAACAAAAAAATTGTAGTATTTTTCTACTCTACTCGTGTATTAATTTTAAGCCAAAAAGCATATAATCATGCAGCTGGATTAAATGATAGATGTAGTAGGTGCACTTGAAGCTCAGAACAGGGGCTTCAGATTAACATGGTGTTGCTCAACATGCACTCTGTCTGAATATTAGACTAGAATATAGATGGCTGTATACAGTTAGATATTATTTTAGATGCGTCAGAATCAATAACCTGCTCTTAAAGTAATAAAAAATGATATTGTATTATAGAAAGGATTTTAGGTTAATGTTTTACTCCACTTACTTTAAAGAACAAAATATTTTCAGTATTTTACAGAATGTTTATGTGGTTTGATCTGGTGTTTCTTTCTAGCTCCTAAACCTCATTGAAATAGGAATTCCTGTGACAGAGGAGATCTTTGCTCTGTCTCACTCAGTAGTCCACCTCTGAGCAGGAACCAGGGCTGTGTGCCTAAGAGGAAGGCACAGGGGGCTACCAAACACAGGGTGATTTGCCTTGCATGAGCCCTAACTCACTCTTCTTAGTGATGTTAGCAAGTCAAATATGAAAAGTACGATTATGTATTACTCATGATTGTTAAACAGAGTTGAGAAGGATACTTGCTTTGCCTTACTGTCGCTCAGGCAAACCGTACTATCTGTGATATAAGCAGAGCAAATAAAATGGGGCATGTTTTTCCAGTCACTATTTTCTTAGTTAAATTATGTCTGAAACCAAGGAGTTGAACATTTTTGAGCATTTTTTGGAACAATATACACATGAAACTTGACAGGTTTTCCAAAGAACATCCGTTGTTGAAGACTAAATTCTCATGCCCTAAATCATGGACCCCCTTCCTCCCTGTAGTGTACAAGAAGGGAGGATAAATCTAAAAAGATCTAATTAGTTTGAATGTGTAGTGCCTAAATAATAATGTCTCCACTACTGAGAATTTTAAAAAATGCAAAAAAACCCACTGTTTTGACAATATAATATAAACTAGGTCCTTAAAGTTGATTATGTGAAAATTGGTTGTAATAGCCAAATTCTGAAGTTTTAAAAGTAGTGTGGAGGTGTATGGGCCTCCAAAAAGTGGTGCCAGGTAAGAAATTCTGCTACAGATCTTCAGTAACCGAAGGTGTGCTGTTGGCACAGAGCATGTATTTTAAAGGAAGTATAAAAAATAGAGAAATGTATGTGTAGCCTCCATAGTTTTTCCTGCATTGGTCAGTTTAAATATTTTTTTGCCTATAATTTGTATGATGTAAGTCCAGTATGCGTGATGTAAGTAGTTATTTGTTTCTGAAAACCCAAAACAGAAGATCAAAAATAAAGCAAAAGGTCAGACATTTCTCGAAAATCAGAGGTTCTGTATTCTTGTGGAACATGTAGGTCTGAAATTCTAGTTTACTACTGTCTTCAAAACCAATAAAATTAACTTCCGTCTTGCTTTTTTTCATTTGAAGAAGTGTTCAATAAGGGCTGAATACAACTTTTTGTAGATAGTTCTTGCTTTTAGCATTATGCACAGCTTTAATCTTATATAAAAACAAAAGTGGTGTGTATAAAACTACTAGGTAGCTATTATTTCTAAGAGTTGATTTTTTTCAGTTGAAAAAGGAGTGTGTGTGTGCAAGCCTATGCATGAGTGTATGTGCCAATATATATACACATGGACCTCCTTGCATATATGGGGCAGATCCACTTCCATGCTAGATTTAGGACCAATAATCACATTATTTTGTGCGCCCTTTTTCAGTGTTATTGGAAAATATTTAGTCTGAATATGTGCCTTATAAGACATTCAGTGAAAGAATCAGTTTTTATTTTTATGCAGATCTTCAGGGAAAAGTACATATTTCTGCTGCACCTTCCTTTCGTTTATGTTTAAGAATTCATACTACTTTTAGTAACTGTTCATTGAAATAACAAAATCTTTGCTTACTGTGGTTTGTTCATTGTGTCCACAAATCGGGTAGATTTTGTAGTTCATCAAAAAAAGCCTGTAATCTGCTGGCTGTATTCCTAAAGAAAATCCAGCTCTGCTTATGCTATCACAGTTAAAAAGAAGAAAATAAAAATGGAAAAAAAAGAAGCAAAACCCCCAGAAAGACCACAGAAGAATGGAAATATCTCCAGGCATATTCTGTACAATTTCAGTTATAATCCCACTTATCTAGCTTTCTTTGCCAGCCTAAATTTTGTAAATAAACATATACATATATACAAAATAAATATATAACTGCAGGTTTTCTAAATAATTGCAGCAACTAAATTTTAAATCATAGGAAAATTATAGTGAAATAGATTATTATGGGAATTCATCATCTATTGTCTTGATTTTGTGATACAACACTCTGTTCCCCTACTTTATAGTTTCCCGACTACTTTATAGTTTCCTGACTACTTTATTATAGTTTCCCGACTACTTTGTTATAGTTTCCCGACTGATGAGTGACTGAGGGCAGTATTGATCATACTGCATTTTGATTTGGGGTCCTGGGTTTGTTTTCAAAGAGATAAAAACTGCTGCCGTAAGAGGAAAGAGTTTTATTACAGAATTTGTACATAAATAGATACATCATAATGCATTTCAAAGCAGATGAAGGTAATGGTGGGGTTATCACCAGTGAGATGAGTTCTGGAGAGTAGGAAAAGCTCAATCTCAGATAACCAGAAGTATTCGCATCCCTGGATCCCTCTCAGGACTCCTGGTACACGCAGAGGCTTGCCTTAAGACGACGAAAGGATTCCTCGCTCTTGCTTTCTAACCTCTGGTCAGCAGGCAGGGGTCCGGAAAGGTCATCCGCAAGTAGGAGCACACTTTTCTTGTTCTTTTTAAGTGCTAACAGTGCTTTGCAACCATTCTGACACCATGTCTTCACCATCTTGCTATCAGAGATTTGATAGTGTCACATCTCTAGGATGTATTCAGCCTGACGCAGTTGCCTGCTGGGTCAGCAAGACAGATTTTCCTCTTTAAGGCAATTGGACAGGATGGCTGGCTGTGGTTTTGTTTGTTTTGTTGAAGGACTTAGAGGATTTTCGTTCTTTAGCCACTTCGAATGGAGACCAACTTTTCCATCAAAAACATTGAGAGTAAGAGTTTAAAAGGAATGACAGAATAATTTGGGAGTGTTTACTTAATTAAGATATCAAAAACACGATAGAAACTACAAACCAGTACAGACAGAGAGACTGGAAGTACCAGCTTTGAGATAGACATGAACAAAACCTCCAGAGATGCAACTTTTTTTTTTTTTAATATGAGTTCTTGGAGACTACTTTTTTCCAAGGTGCCTAACACCATTAACATCAGTATTCTGACTAGTCTTCCACTGACATTGCTTGAGAAGCATTAGCGATCTCGTATAAGATAGAGGTGAGACTTTGTCTGGGATATTATATATTGTTTGCATTTACTGGCTCAATACAGATGAGAGTGGAAGAGATGTGGAGAAGCAGAGCTAAGAAGAATGAGGAGCTTGTCCAGTCTCATGTTACAGGGATATCGGGTCATTTTTGTAAATCAAAATACCTTGTCGTGTTTATGGTACATACGACAATGAGATATTTCTACGTAAGAGCCAAAATTATTTGCTGTCCATCTCCTGTTTGTGAAGTTTAACATCAACAACCTGAAATGAAGCCATAGGCATTAACGTTTCAAAGAGAGGTTACATACCATGAAGCGCAGCGGAAATCAAATCTTGTCACAAGGTGAAAAGAGAGTGAAAAGGCTCTGTTTGCTTATGTGCATCTGTGAACTGGATACTTGGAAGGATTCTTTAGCTGTTTGTCTGCTTCACTCAGGAAGTAACTGGCAACCTGAGCAAAACCACATGAGAATCTTATAACATATTCCCCTGTGTAAGAACTGCATACATCCTCACATGGAATTCCCTTCTACAGTATATTTTCTGTAATATTCTGTTGTTTTCCTATTAAAGAAGTGGCTTTTTGGATGTTCTTTTGAATGATATTCCAAATTCCCAATTTCAGAAAAGATGCTGTCATCTAAGTGAGGATGTTTTTATTGAGG